GGTGCGATGCTACCCTCAGCTTCTAGTCCTACCCTGACTCAGGCTGTGAGGGGAGGGGGCTGGGTTCCAAAAAAGTCTAGAAGAAAAAACAATGGGATGATGTCTGTTATGCCTGTTATCAGAAAGTAAGCAAACCCAAAAAGGCAAGATAAACCAGACAAAAAGCACGTGTCCTCCGGGTAGAACCTGCTCTCACAAGGACAGCTGTCTCCTCCCAGCAAGGCGGGTGGTGTGGACAGGGCGGCATGAATTGTTCATTGTTCTCACTTGGTGGTAAGGCTGTTTGCAGACGCTGGAGCCTACGAGGCACTCCCGGGTGGGAATCTCCCATCTCCTAGCAGAAGACCCGGAGACCAGCCTCCTCCCACTGCCCTGGCTAGGGAGAGCCTCACCAAAACTCTGAGCCAACAGCCGTCAGCTGGAAAGTAAAGAGTAGGAGTTTAAAAGGAAAAACACCCTGGACTACTATATGAATGAATGTTTTGGGTTTTCTTTTTCTGCCAGAGGAAGACTTGAAATCTCAACATCTACTAATGAATTATAGCCACAAAGGAGGTGATTAGATAACATTTTAAAGATAAGCTAATAATTAAAATCCAATAATCCAACTTAGTTGCTTACATTTATAGTTCCTTTGGTTTTGCTCTCAATAGTCTGTGGCCATTAAAGGGAATTAAAAAACGTAGCTGTGCTTCATGACATCGAGGAGGGTGACTCTTAGTCTAGGAAGCCCACAGCTCACTCTAGTAATGAAATGAAAAACAGCATTGGGGGATGTAACTGCCGGGTCAGCAGGCAACTCTTTAACTGCAGGCATCCTAACCCAAACTGGTAAAATGAGACATTTTTCCTTTTATAAATAAGGGAATCCACACCCAAAATAATTTCTAACTAATAGAATAGCAACATCTAAAGGAGAGAATGTGTCAGAAAAAATGGATTTCATTTCACATTTAAGTACATATACAGTGATTTTTTACCTAGAGCAGCCTGTGTCATTTCTATTGTTTCTGCTTGATAATCTGAAGATTAAACTAAAACTAAAGAATATGCATGTCACAGGAACCACTCAAAAAATTAACTGCACATAAATTAATCCCTTACCTGTGACTCACTGATTGGGCTTTCTGAAATTATTACTAAGGTTATAGAATGATAACTGGAGTTTAATCCTTCAATTTCTTCACTCTTTTCAGACATAAATTTACTAAGAATAATTCAATAACAAGACCAAATAACTGAAAGACATGTTCGTTAACACTCTATAATTAAGAAAAAGAGGCAAATCCAAAGAAAGTACAGTTATATAACAGATTAACAAAAACTCTCACATATCAGGACCTTTAATCCAATCTCCTTGTCCTTCCACAGATACACTGTTGTCCTCTGGTAATTAATGTTTAGAATGAGATTATCAATGAAAAATTCAATTAATTGCTAAATTCTCTACTTATTAAAACAGGAAACTAAAACCATTTCAGATTTTTCAAAGCAAGCTGGAACTTGTTTTAAGCTCAAGACTGAACTACAAATACCATATTAAGAAAACGCTTTAAGTCTATTAAGGGTTTCTTGAAATATTACGTTATCTAGAATAGCCTCTTACCTGGAGTACTCCACTCAATAAGTACACCAGCTATTTCTAACAGCTTTGCTATACAGAATAGTTTTTTTCTTCTCCATAATAGTCTTCCCGGAAACACACATCAGAGAATAAATGTTTTCCTGTTAATTCTATCACAAGGGCAGCATATTAAACCCTTTCTGAACCATCCTAAGGAAACAAATGATTGTACAGATATTTACTATGTCTAGTCCTCTTTTGCTTAACAGATTGGATGTGTCCTAATAAAACTCCCTGAAAAGTACATTATTCGTTGACAGCCATTAGAAAATCAGGAATGCCTTCAGGGATGACGGGGGACAACCTGGTATGAGTGTAAAAGGGACCACAGAACAGGCCTGACGAGCTCAGGTGGGTCACATGGCAGGCCTGACCGAAAGTAACCCCACAGGAGGGTCTGATCGTAAATTCCTAAGGCAGGTAATGATGGGTAGTCAAATCCCAGGCCTGTAGCTTCCTTAGCAAAGGTCAGTCTCTACCATAATCCACCCTACCCATTATCCTTATGCATCTAGGATAATATACCTTTGGAATGTCGAGAGTAATTTTCTTTTCCACACCCCTCAGGGCACCACCACTGGCACCAGAGCACAAGACCACAAAACTCACTGTTGTGTTGCCATGACCCCATGTCTATTTACAGCAAATGTTAACTATCCTATACCCACCAAAGTAAAGGAAGTATGTGTCTCACCATTTTGTTCATCCAACACTAGATATTTCCCCACTTTCTCTCCCGCCTACTTAATCGACCACCACGAGTTTCATGTAACCTTCCTTACATTTCTCCTTTGATTGCAAATGCATAAAGAGAACTACAAAACTGTCATTCTCCAGAGCATGGTCTTAATCCATTGAGATCTTGCTACTGGTCATGTCTTCAGATTTGGCTCAAATAAACTTTTATGACGTTTTTCTATAGGTTTGGACTTTCATCAACACTGGGAGTACTAGATATAATTTTATTAATTTAACAGTTCAAAAACCCTTTTAAATCAATCATATTGAAGCATTTTGTTAGAGCTTAGTTGATCCTATTTAAATATATGCTGTATATGAAAGTAGAAATTTTAAATAATTATGAATAGACAGAATTCATAGAGACAGAAAACAGAATGGCACTTACTGGGGGCTGGAGGAAGGGGGAGTGCGGGTTAGTGGGTAATGGGTACTGAGCTTCAGTTGGGAAGAAGACAAATTTTGGAGATGATCATGGTGATGTTTGCACAACATGTGCATATACTTAATGCCACCAACTTGTACACTTAAAAATGATTGAAATAGTAAATTTTACTTTATGTGTATTTCACCACAATTTTAAAAATTCCATATGTGTGAGAGAGAATTGCATGTAAAAATAGTACCTTCTGCCGTACCCGGTTTGGCTTCACCACAATTTTAAAAATTCCATATGTGTGAGAGAGAGAGAATCGCATGTAAAAATAGTACCTACTAAGAACAGCAGACAGCTCAGGCCTGATTTCTACCCTGCTCCTCTACCCGAGGTTGCAGCAAGCCCAAAGCTACCGTAAAAAATCAATAAAATATATTTTAAAAAAATAGTACCTTCTAAGAACAGGAGAAAACTCAGGCCTGATCCCTACCCTGCTCCTCTACCTGAGGTTGCAGCAAGCCTAAAGCTACCTCTCATCTACCTAAACCGGCATGAATCACCTGGTGATCTGGTTGAAATGCAGATTCTGATCCAGAGGTCTGGGTGGGGCTTGGGTTCTGTTGCTGCTGCTCACAGACTTCACTTTTGGACCAAATGCTGTAAAGCCTGGAGCAGTGGGGCAGCTCTCATCAATTCAAGATGAGATATAGTGTTAACACACCTGACTCTGCACCTCACACCTGAGTTTGCCATTTTTGCACTTCACCCCTCTGCTGCCTTCTTCCTGATATTTTGTGTCTGGTAATAGCCATGAAGTAGCTGCAAGCTGCTCACCCAAGGGAAGCTGAAAGGCCTTGCCAGGCTTTGGAAACCTCCACTCTTGAGCTGCTGGGACCTGTGGCCACACAGTAACTAACCGGAGTTAATCAGATTGGAAATTAATTAGGTTTGGAATGTTGCTTTGGCCACTACTAAAGAAAGATGTGCAGTGAAGGAAACAACATCAACCAGCTTTGAAGAGTAGGAACAAAGTCCTCAAACAGCACGGAAAATGTTTATAAAAAGCCCAGGCACAACACAAATGCACACACTGCTACTTTGCAAAGCGCCGGGATACGAGGGTAACACACCATTCTTACCTACGCACAATGCAAGATCCTCACAGAAGAGTGCCAGTTATGGCATGAACTTAGAAAATACTTAAAACATCCTCCACTCATTCTGACTTCATTTTTTAGGACAAGCTGCCAGTTAGAAAGGAGAAACTGCTTCCTCCGGTCTTGGTTATTGATGCGGGTGTCCCTGAGCCTCCCAGGGCCTCCGTGTCCTCACCACTTTTATGGAGTCAACTAAATCCACTTCCTGTAACCAAGTCTGCTACAGATCCTTCTAGTAACTGCCATCAGAGCTGACGCTGAGTGAGATTTCACTGCATTCTGCTGGGCAGAATGACAAGCTACAAGTGCACACATATAAACACACATGTATACTCACAAGCATGCATGCACACACACACACACACACACACACACACACACACTTTTATTCTCCCCACTGTTAGTGTGCACATTTTACAGACCTTTAAAGAGGCCCAGTATACTCATGCAGCTGCTTCAAAGACACCCCCCGCCCCCACCCCCCGCTCCAGACTAAGCAGCTCATGTCACTACCAGTGTATGAGTAGCCTGGATATGGAACTGCCAAGCAATAAGGGCTTAATGGCACTGCAGGGCCTCTAACTTCTATTAGAGCAAGAACGAAATTTGGTCAAGCACTTTTTAAAGCAATTCCACCCTGACACATGTTAAAAGACAATTTTTAAGAAAAGGCAAAATCACAACACTCAAACAGATATGAAAATAAATACATGTTAAAGATATTATTTAGTCCAGCCGACGTGGCTCAGTGGTTGAGCATCAGCCCAGGAACCAAGAGGTCATGGTTCGATTCCCGGTGTAGATAGAGCACATGCCCGGGTTTCGGGCTTGATCCCTGGCAGGGGGCATGCAGGAGGCAGCCAATTGATAGTTGTCTCTCATCACTGATGTTTCTCTTTCTCTATCCCTCTCCCTTCCCCTCTCAAGTCACATAATATACTGGATTAGCTGGCTCTGTATAAATGAGAATGCACATCTCAGACATGAAAATGAGTATAAAGTGCATATAATTCTACATGGTAAAGCGCTGGTTGAACGGACATTTTAATACATTAATCTTGTTAGTTATGAGACAGCTCCAAAGTTGGAACTATTTTTAACTTACCACTTTTGGGCACAGCAACGTTTTTTTCAGTTCACAGGCACACTGTGCACTAAACAAAATGTACCGTCACATCCTGTACACACACACATAGATTGCGTATCTGAGCACGCTGTCCTGGTTGACTCTCACGTTAGAGTAGATGTCACTTCTGTGAAGGACACAGCGGGGCCTGGTGAGTAAGTGCAAAAACACCAGGGCAGCTTGCCCAGCTCAGCCCCTTCGGGCTTCATGTGAACTTACAGGGGATCTAACCTGGCTACCTGCATGAGTCCTAGACAGGATTAATGAGCTGCAATGGAGAGTCACACTGTCCTGGCACACAGTAACTGCTATGTAGGCAGCAGCTACTAATGGGCCAGAATCTGTGATAGAGCCTCATCTTGGGGAGGCTGTGGAGAGGATTTTGTGGGGGGATTCCTGAAGGACTTTGTAAGGCCACAGGCTTCATGATTGCTAGTCAGCCTATACAAACAGCATTACAAACATGCCATTAGGTTTATTCTTCATATCTGAACATTTGTTTTCAGGTAAAGGTAAGCATTTCAGGTACAACCAGAACAAAACAACTTTTTAAATGAGGTGTAAATGTTTATCTACCACAAGATAACTCTAGACGCCTATGAAGGCTATTAATAATAAAATTTAAAACTTTTAAAAAATAAATAGGGAAATAGTCTAGCAGAATACAAAAATAAATATGAGAGCACTAGCTAAGGCAATTTCAGTTAGAACATAGCACAATGCGTTCTTCTGATGCAACAAATGTGTTATTTTAAATAATTCAAGGCAGAATAATAGAGTAGGTAATACCATAATTCTAACCTGTTGGCACTACTTGGTGTATTAGCACTAGCATTACACAGAACAGCCTTGAACAGCTATATTGCATTACTTATTTAATTCCACTTAAGTCACGAGTCCTTCAAGAAAATGCCTGATTTGGAAATTTTTCATGGCTTAGAATTTTTACTAAAATTGTAACATTTAGCATTTAGCTAAAGTGCACCTCTAGTTTTCAGAAAACAAAGAAATAAAAAAAAATGCAAACTGATAGCAATTTTCCCATGCTTTCCATGTTTCCCAGTAGTATATACATTTGGTTTGTTTGAGGAGAGAGAGAAAGGCCATAACAGACTAACATAAGACAAAAGCAGACCTCAAATCCAGGCTCCTGAGCACCCAGGGCAACCTGAGCTAACTGCGTGACCTCTCTGGGCCTTAGCTTCATGGTCTGCAAAAGGGAGGTGATAAAAGTGCCAACCACACAAAGTAGTTGTAAGAAATAAATGAGGCTAGTCCTGGCCAGGTGGCTCAGTTGGTTGGAGCATTATCCTGTACACCAGAAAGGTTGCTGGTTCAATTTCCAGTCAGGACATATACCTAGGCTTCAGGTTCAATCCCCGGTTGGGGAACGTATGAGAGGCAACTGATCTCTCTCTCTCTCTCTCTCTCTCTCTCTCTCAATCGGAAAAAAAAAAAAGGCTAGGCCCAAAAGTATGATATTTGGTTCCCAGGAAGCCAGTAGAAATCCCTGCTACTAATACAAGCAGGAGCCTCCAGGAAGGGCTGTCCATTAGCAACCTCGAAACCTTTCAGAAAACACTTCCCAAACAAGTTTTCCACAGGAACACTGCCCTGGTTTCTTAGCAGACTGCAGTAAGGGAGAATCTCAAAGCACAGATGCCCCTAAATTAAATAAGTGTACATGACAGCAACAGCGAGAAAGGCAGCAGGGAAGGGTGGCTGAGTCACAGACCTGGCTCTGGCCCCTGTTCTGCCACCAACTAGCCATCAACTAGCCACTGGATGGTGGACAAATAACTTCTTATGTCTGTCCCCTCATCTGAAAGAGGAAGAGGCTGAGCAAACTGTCCTTTAAATCCTGTTCTAGTTTTAAGGGTTTGCCAGACTCTACAGTTTCCATTCCTGCCCTGTAACATGGTGACCTACAATGGATATGCCAACATCAATGACTACTGCTGCGTTGGGAAATTAAGCATCTTCGATAACTCCAAAGCTGAATAATGGCTTTTACGATGGTCAGAACGGTCTCGTCTTTGCTACAAACAATACCGACCAGAGTTTTATTGATTTTTACAGAGAGAGGAAGGAAGAAGGAGAGAGAGAAACATCGATGTGAGAGCAAGACACTGATCGGCTGCCTTCTGCATGCCCTCTACAGGGGTTTGAGCCTGCAACCCGGGCATGTGCCCTGACTGGGAATCGAATCAGCAATCTTTCAGTGTACGGGATGATGCCTCACCAACTGAGCCACACTGACCAGGGCCTGATTGACTTTTTTAAAATCCAGATTGAGATCTTCCTGGGTTTTGCATACTAAATGAGTTTTGATGGAAACCTGGACATTTTCATACTGTGCTATGAGACTCTGGATCTTACATTTTAGCTGGCTCCCTCTGGTACAACCTCAGAGGGGCTAAGGGGGCTGGGGCAGGCCTGGACACTTTCCTGATAGGTGGGGGCACAAGTCCAAGCTCCCCACATGGCCTCCACCAGCACCACAAAGGGGGAGGGCTCATTACCACCTGGTGCGGATGAGAGCTCGAGTCCCTAACTCAGCCTCCTCTGGCGCCACCTCCATGTCTGGGGTAAATGAAGCAGAAGGAAAACCCGGGAGCTCACCTCACTGTGCCATTCCTGGGATCTCAAGGCCCCTGGCCAGCCTGCCTTCTTCTCTCCACTGTTCAGAATCTTCTTATGTTTGTTTTGTATGTAACTTTCCAAACGTTTTAGCTGCAATTAGTGGGGAGAGTAGGGGAAAGCACATCTGGTCCATCTTCCCAGAAGCAGATGTCCTGATGTGTTACTCTTCGTGTCTACATAGGTTTTTAATGATATCAAAGTAAAAAGAGATGAGTCCCTCAAGAGTTGGTTGAAGACACATATAACTAACACCACAGACCAGTGCTTCCTTACCAGGTACACAATGGCCTCATTTTAGCTGTGTTATTATGCTGATTTTATCATTCAGAGTCAATACATTAAGAAAATAAAACCATGCATTTCAGCACACACACCCCCAACTTTTCCCATTGCTTTCAACAATTTCACTCAGCAAAAGCTTAGCTTTAAAAAAGATACTGAAGAGTAAAATGATAGATTCTACAGAGAGCATAAAAATGAATAAAACCCAATCTTCTCTCCAGGAGTTTGGAAATCAGAGATAAAACAAACAGCTAACAAAAACAGATAACAGGCAGAACACAATAAAGAACACCAGGTCACGCTGTAGCACAGTCTGGAGGAAGGAGGAATTCTTCCTCCGCTACAATGACCAAGGGCTGCTTCACAAACCATGACACTGAAAGATGAGATAACACTCAAGTTGGGCATTGCCAGGAGAGGGGATATTCCCAGGGAGAGAGAGATCAGTGAAGTGAGATCAGAAGGAAGACGGGCATATGTGCTGAATTACAAATGCAGGCATACCTCAGAGATACTGCAGATTTGATATCAGACTATCGCAATAAAGTGAATGTTGCAATAAAGTGAGTCACGCTCATTTTTTTTGTTTTCCCATGAATAAAAATTATGTGTACACTATACTGCAGTCTATTCAGTGAACAATAACATTATGCTTAAAGAAAACCACAATGGGCCCTAGCCGGTTTGGCTCAGTGGATAGAGCGTCGGCCTGTGGTTCAATTCCAGTCAAGGGCACATGTCCGGGTTGCAGGCTTGATCCCCAGTAGGGGCATGCAGGAGGCAGCCAATCAATGATTCTCTCTCATCATTGAGGTTTCAATCTCTCTCTCCCTCTCCCTTCCTCTCTGAAATCAATAAAAATATTAAAGGTAAACAAACCCGGTTTGGCTCAGTGGATAGAGCGTCGGCCTGTGGTTCAATTCCAGTCAAGGGCACATGTCCGGGTTGCAGGCTTGATCCCCAGTAGGGGCATGCAGGAGGCAGCCAATCAATGATTCTCTCTCATCACTGAGGTTTCAATCTCTCTCTCCCTCTCCCTTCCTCTCTGAAATCAATAAAAATATTAAAGGGAAAAAAACAAAGAAACAAACCTCTCTTTTTAAAAAAAGAAAACAAAACCCCAATGGACATAGCTAATTAAACTATACTTTTAAAAAAAGAAAACAAAACCCCAATGGACATAGCTTAATTAAACTATACTTTACTGCTAAAAATGCTAACCATCATCTGAGCCTTCAGTGAGTTGTAATCTTTTTGCTGGTACAGGGTCTTGCCTCAATGGAGAGGAAAATACAATGTCTGCGAAGCACAATAAAGTGAAATGGAATAAAAGGAGGAATGCCTCTAGTGCCCTTGGCTAAGTTCTAAGGCACCTGTCTGGGCTACTGGAGAAGAAGAGGAAGGATAATCCAGGCTGGGAGGGGCTTTGAGGGGGGACATTCACGGATCCAGAGGCCCAACAGAAACACCCTCAGCAGCGTACAGAGGAGACAGGAGTCTGGGTCAGTCGGGGTAAAAAGAACACCGGAACCTGCCTAGGCCGATGGCACAGGATGGCGGGACCATGAAAGCCTGTCATCACAATGATTAAGCCAGTATTCTATCAATAAGCAGTTGTTTAAACGTGTGTGTGTGTGTGTGTGTGTGTGTGAGAGAGAGAGAGAGAGAGAGAGAGAGTGTGTGTAAAATGTCTTTTTCGCAGAAAGGGAAGTTATATGAGGTCTCAAAGAAGCAAGTGGGGGGAAAGTTCAATTTGGAATCAGAGAGTTTCTATTTCCCCTGCAAACTTCAAGATAACAAAGCATGCCATTATCTTCCAGAGACATTAAATGTGATTCGGGCATTATTAGTTAATGAAGATGACTGACCTTATTAGTTAAATTCTCCTGAATCAACACCTCACTAGTGAGCCTTAATACCTCTTCCCACCCACAGAATTCCTGGCGCCCCCTCCAGGAGGACTCTTGGGGACCTCCCAGCATGTGCAGTGGCTCACAGGCGGCCTTTGTCCTCAGCAATCTCTCAGTATAATGGCACTTTGTCTGCCTTGCTGAACCCAGCAGTCGATTTCCTTC